CCCCCCTCCCGGCCTCCCCCTCCCTTCCCAAAACAAAGTTAAGTCTTACAGAGATAAAGGGAAACCAGTCCCGCCCGGGAGGGATGGAGAAACCTCCAGCGGATCTGTCAGAGGAGAAATCAGCCCAGCGAGGTCTACATTTGTTACCCTAAACGCTTCTTCGGGGATGAGGATGAGGATGGGGAGAGGGGGCAGCGTGGAGCATCCCCCTCCTCCCCTCCCGGTGCCACCCGGTGGCCCCGGGCCCCGGAGGAGGGTGGGTGGCAAGGGGAAAAAACGTGCCGGGAGCTGGCTTCAGGAGGAACAAAACAACCCCAACCCCACCCCAAAAAAAAAAAACCCCAACCCCACCGACATTCAAGTATGAAAAGGTCCTCAGCAAACGGGAGCGGGGAGAAGCACACCCAGGCTGGGGCTGGCACTTTATCTCTGCAGCAGCCTACTGCTTTAGGAAAAGTCAATTCACAATAAATTATAAATACGCTAGCGCTAAGAACACAACCTTCCCCTGCCCTGATAGCTCTACTAAGGTAGTTGGGTTTTTTTATTTCACTAGAAAATCCCATTCTTCCTCTCCTCTAAAAGTTAGGAATAAGTTGGCAGGGGTTCTTCCGCCCCTTTTTCTCCTAAATAATTTACAATGCGGCTCTGAGAATGCCCCCCACACACTCTCTCGCCTCCCTCCCCGTCTTTTCTCCTCTTCTAAGTGACCCAGTATAAAACTACCAGATGAGGAGGTTTGCCCGGAAAAAAAAAACTACTAAACTTTCAGGTCAAAGTCACAGATCTGCCCTGGCATGATTCAAATAAAAACCCCGCGTAATAAAACCAACTTTTTTAAAAAAAGGGAGAGAGAAAAAGGAACCCAGCGCTGTTGGGAGCTGGGCTGTCATTAACCGGCTACCCGGGTATAAAGTTGGCGAATTGAAAATGATTTGTTGGGTGCAATTAAACGCGAGTCTTACGAATGTGTCTGTCTTGCAGTGGTTTAATTAAATCGTCTGGTTCCTTGGCCACCTCAACGTGTGCGTGTGAGAGAGTGTGTGAGACTTGGAGAGAATCATTGTCCTTACGTGGATAAAGGGGAAAAAAAAAAAGACAGCGAGGTTTAGGGGGGGGTTTTGGGCCAGGGTTGTTTGTGGCCGGTTGTTTTTGCCGTCTTTTTGTTTTTTTTCCACGGAGAAAATGAGAGCAGAGAAAGCTGCTGCTCAGACAGGAGCCTGTGTTTGTGTTACGCTGTAGGAGAAGAAAAGAGAAAGCAAGAGAAAAAAAAAATAGAGGAAAAAAAAACCCCAAGAGAACAGAAACAAAACCCAGCATGTGTCCCCAAAACAAAAAAAAAAAAAGGAAGAATAAGCAACATCTCGCATGCAAAGGTGGAGCTGGGGGACGGGGAGGGGTTCCCCTCGTGTTTGGGGGATGTGGCAGCTCTGGAGGGAGGGTGCGCGGCCGCGGAGGCTGGGAATGGGGAGGGGGGAGG